CTTTTCTGCTTGACTCAGACATATACTAGTTATTGCAAATAAGGGAAACCATGGGACCTATGTTTCTTTGGGCCTGGCTTACTTCACTTAATACAATTTTTTCCAAGTCTTTCCATTTCCTAACAAACGGGGCAATGTCATTCTTTCTGATGGAGGCATAGAATTCCATTGTGTAGATATACCACATTTTCTTGGGCCATTCATCTACTGAGGGGCATATGGGGTGGACCCATTGCAACAATGAGATGTACAAGATGCTATGTCAAAAAACGAACTTTACAACTTTGGCCAGGAGTGGGGGGAGAGGGGGAGTGTAGTCATGAAGATGGGAGGGCAGGGCAGGGATGGTAGGGGAAAAACAAAGGAGGAGGCAACAATGCTTGATAAGAAATGGACTCATTACCTTGCTTGTGTAATTGTAACCCCTCTGTACGGTATTTTCACAATAAAAACACAAAGTAACCCAACACAAGGAGCACTGGAGGCATTTAGTGAACAGAGTGACTAACTCACAAGTGTGAGGCCCTGAGTTCAGACTCCCAATATTTCCAAAAAGGAAAAAAATGGCTGTGATGAATATACTGGTAGACAGCAGTATAAGAGCTTCTTATTCAAATGTTCATACTTGTTTGAATAAACCCCACATCAGACCAAATGTTATGGGTTTGTAGAAAGGTATCATCACTCTCAGTGATGAGTATTTAGGCAATGGAGAAAATAGTCATCAGCATTCCTGATTCCCATCTAGTGTGCTACCCCTCTTGGTAAAGACATTCCATCACTTCCTATACCTCCCAGTGGGATACATGTAGCAATCTGGCCTGTACATCCACTGAGCCTGACTCAGAAGAGGCTCAGTGTGGAGCCCTGGAACTGAAGCCCTCAAGTTTCATTGCTACCTTCCAGGGAAGCCTCCTCTCAGAGATCCTAGAAACTGTCATGGAGAACAGCACTTCCTAAACTTAGTGCTCTATACAGTAAGGCCAGGGGCAAACAGTTGCGTAAATGCAGTCACAGATCAAAAGGTTTAAGAAGAGCCTGCTAGTTGAGTACCAACGTTTTCTAAAATCTTCACAGAGAATATAAATGTGGGGCCCAATTTGAGAACCAATGGTCTACAACTAAGCCAGACTATGGTTATTTTGTCTTCACATCCCTCAACACCATGTTTATTAGTCCATAAACTCAAAGACTGAGAGACAGCATCTTTCATAGATGTCTCCTATCCGCTGCTCCTAAACAATCTTTGTCAAATCTCCAGACTACTTCTACATCAGCTTCCGGTCTATGCCTGCCTACCACTTCCATAGTAGCTGTCATGGCTAAAGCACTTATCATGGATCAGGTTCTCTGCACAAGTGTCATTGTTATTTCCGGATGTGAACACAGAGGTTCAGAGAGGCAACACAAATTTCTCAAGCTCCTAAGTGGTGAAGTTAGGATCAACACCCAGGCCTATGTGATTCCAAAGTCTACCCTTGAGCCTATTCCTTCCTCTTGATGTAATTTGCTCCTTCCGATTCTGTTATCTGATGGAGTCTCTGAGGGTGTGGGGTAATTGGGGGGAGGGGTAATCTTGCCAATCATTTGAGTGTTGGTGTCTCCATTCTCAGGTTCGCCTGGAGTGGCCCACAGACTTAGCCATCAACCCTATGGACAACTCTCTCTATGTCCTCGACAACAATGTGGTCCTGCAAATCTCTGAAAACCACCAGGTACGCATTGTCGCGGGGAGACCCATGCACTGCCAGGTCCCAGGCATCGACCACTTCCTGCTGAGCAAGGTGGCCATCCATGCAACACTGGAGTCAGCCACTGCTCTGGCTGTTTCACACAATGGAGTCCTGTACATTGCTGAGACCGATGAGAAAAAGATCAACCGCATCAGGCAGGTCACCACCAGCGGGGAGATCTCGCTTGTGGCTGGCGCCCCCAGTGGCTGTGACTGCAAAAATGATGCCAACTGTGATTGTTTCTCTGGAGATGATGGCTATGCCAAGGATGCAAAGCTGAATACCCCCTCTTCCTTGGCTGTGTGTGCCGATGGAGAGCTCTACGTGGCCGATCTTGGGAATATCCGAATCCGCTTCATCCGGAAGAACAAGCCTTTTCTTAACACCCAGAACATGTATGAGCTATCATCCCCCATTGACCAGGAGCTCTACCTGTTTGATACAAGTGGCAGGCACCTGTACACACAGAGCTTGCCCACTGGAGACTATCTGTACAACTTCACCTACACAGAGGATGGTGACATCACACGCATCACAGATAACAACGGCAACATGGTAGATGTCCGCAGAGATTCTTCTGGCATGCCCCTCTGGCTGGTGGTCCCCAATGGCCAGGTATACTGGGTGACCATAGGCATCAACAGTGCGCTCAGAAGCTTGACCACACAAGGACATGAGTTGGCCATGATGACCTATCATGGTAGCTCTGGCCTTCTAGCAACCAAAAGCAATGAAAATGGATGGACCACATTTTATGAGTAAGTATCTAGATGAGACCATTGGATGATGGGTTCCATGAGATGTCTTATAGGATTAGAAATGAACCAGTGGACTGTTCTTTTTTGGATATATGTCATCTAAATTCAGGAGTTGAGAGGCAAGCTGTTACCTATAATATGTTCTGTATATTCATCTGCCAGATGATTTCTATTTATAAGGAGGAAATGTTATGGTGGAAAAGCAGGTGTATTTGGGCTTTGTTCTGAGTTCTCCCATGGACTTAATCTCTCTAGACCTCAGTTTTCACATCTTTAAAATGGACAGAGTAAACACCTGCCCAGAGTACCACAGAGACTATATAAATGAAAAGCACTTAATCAGATGCTAACATCTTCCTATAACACTCTCTAGAAATATAGCAATAGGAGAAGGAACAATACAATGTGGATGGGTTTTCCATACAATTAAAGCTCACATTTTTTTCTACTTTAACCATTTTGGATGTACTTCTAATGAAATACACAATATGCTTTCTGTCTTTGACACATTATACATATACAGACATAATGTAAACTTTCTTCATCTTTTTTGTGATGGTACTGAGGTTTGAATTCAGGGCCAGGGCCTAGCTTTTCTCTCAAGGCTGATGCTCTAACACTTGAGCCACAGCTCCACTTCCAGATTCCTTTTGGTGGTGGTAGTTAGGTAGGTGATGGTTAATTAGAGGTAAGAGTCTCACAGACTTTCCTGCCCAGGCGGGCTTCAAACTGCAATCCTCAGATATCAGCCTCTTGAGTAGTTAGGATTACAGATGTGAGCCAATGGCATATGGCAGAACCTTTTTTTTAAATGAGCCAAGGAACAACACTGATTATAAATATTAATGTGCTCTGGAGACATAAATAGCTTCCAGAGAGTGGGAGATGAGAACACAGAGCCCTTTGCTCTTTCTGCATTTAATTCATTCCTTTATCTGGGGGGTATGGTCCTACTGCCTCCTCCTCAGGATGGCGCTATTGTGTCACTGTTTTCAGGCATGGGGGTTACCTCCCTGCACTGTTTTAAGTGGTGTTATCAGAGGAGCACTTTGGCTTATTATAGTCCTCCCCAAAATGATACACATGTATCTGAAACGTTTCTCAATGAGCTATTTTAATGAAAAGGACCTTGCGACATCTCTTCTTCAATCCATGGCTTTAAAGCTTTTTTTTGAGATCATAGCAATGTTCCAGACAATGAAGACAGCTGAACATGTCACTATTAGACACGACTGAAGGAGCTGGGGGAGGAACTAGCCTTGTTGAACATGAGCTCTGGGCTAGGAACTGTGGCATATCACGAATCCTCCCAGCACCTCGAGAGGATGGGTGATATTTCTTGTTTTATTGAAATAAAAACTGAGGCTTGGAGAAGTTCATTTGACCATAGTTGTTTAGTGAAGATACCACAAAACCAGGATAGTGACCCACTGCTGCTGTCTGAGGGCAGAGCTCTCATTCTTTCTGTTCTGCTCAGCTGCCCTTCCCAGCCTCCTGCTGCGTTCATTAATCCCAAATGAAGTTAAGTCCTTGAACTCTTACATTTTTTTTTCTCAAACTAGATCAACCATCAATTTCTCAGAGTCCTAGAATACAAAGGAAAAGGATCTGTAATTGATTTGTACATACAATTCGCACCCAAAAAATAGCATTAATGTCACAGCAATTGGTACAAAGTTCACCAGCAAAATTCCTTTCTCCAAACATAGACCTTGTTAATTGCAAAGAAAAGACAAAGATCCAGGAAAACAGCAATTATCTAGATTAACTCATTGAAATGGAAATACACTAAATAATTCAATTTTCCTCATTGCCCAATGGAAATCTCTTATGCATTATTTAGCCAATACTGGGGTTTCTTTGTCAGAACAAATCTGTTCACTTAATTAGTTCCCAAGGTCCCAAAATGAATGCTTACAGGTCAGTGCCTCTGTCACTCACTCTCCACCACCTCTAAAATATAAAACCCCTCTTCTATCCAGAAAGGATCTCTCTCCCCTCCCCCTTCCTCCCCTTCTCTCTTTCCTTGATGAAGTATGCAGCCATGGTTGATGCTTTGTGAAGAAGGAAAAGTTATTTGAATTGTTTCTTATATTGCATTATGGGCTGGGAAGTAGCTCAGTGGCAAAGTGTTTGCCTAACAAGTGCAATGTCCTGGATTCAATCCCCAGTACAAAAAAAATTTTTTTTTCATTTAAAATTCAAAAGAATCTACTTTATAACAGAACTCAGAAATACTGACCCTTGCTGACCCATACCAGAAATGAAAGATAAAATTCCTGAAATCAAAAGGAAAATCTGCTTGTGAAGTAAAGGACAAGTCCTAAGCTTAATTCAGAGAAAAACTAACAATGATCTTACAGTAGATCATTCCCAAGGTGGTGGGAATGTCATCCCTCTCTTTCACCTTTGAAGGTAAGACACAGTTAGGCATAGAGATATTATGTAACAAGCTGATAATCACACATTGGGTGGTCAGCAGGGCCAGAAGACAAGTCTATATTCTTCTTTCTTTCTTTATTTGCTTTATTAAATATTTAGTTTTTAGTGTAAGGATACAGTACAAAGGGATTGCAGTTACATGAATAAGGTAATGATTACATTTCCTATCAAACATTGTTTCCTCCTTCCTCCTTTGTTTTTCCCCTGCCATTCCCTTCCCTCTCCACCTCCCCAACTCCACACCCCCTGCCCAAGTTGTAGAGTTTGTTTTCAACATAGTGTCTTGTACATCTCATTGTTACAATGGGGCAACCTGTATCCTTATTTAAGCATTTTGTTATTTCCCTTCCCCTCCCCAAATTAGAAAAAAATGTATATACAAGATGCAGAACACCAGAATCAAATACAGTGACAACAGGGGTTGTACCATGGGGGAAGAACATACAAAGAAACAAAAAAAATCACATAGTACATTATAAATACATTAAAAATAACAAGAAGAAAGATAAGATCTCTTGTGTCTCTCTCTTGGGGTTCATTTCGCTTAGCATCTGTTATATGGTCAGATGTTACAAGTCTATATTCTTCTAACTATACTAGCTATGTTTCCAATGTTCTTTGTGACTATGAATATAATATACATTAAAATAGTATTTTATAGGGATAGCCTGAGGTACAAACTTTCAATGAGATAAAATACAGAAAGCTCCATGGTAGCTGTTGTTACTATGACTTCAAGAAATACTGTGGAATACCAGTAGTTTACAGAAATGTTCCTTAAACATGGAACATTACTACCCAGGAATAGTTTATACATAAAAAAGCCAAAATAGAAGACAGAGGTTTTCATACAGGTAGGGGTTAAACAAAAGAAGCAAAATCAATTATCAGTCTGAGAAATGAAAAGTATGAACCAGGAAAGAGGTCAGGTCCCAAGAATATTCAAATGGACTAGAAAATGACTTAAGAAGAGTGTTTCTGCTCAGACCAGGAACAAAGCAAGTAATAGACATCTATTTAACTGAATGCTAGCCATATGACTCTGGAACACTGGCTGCCTTTCAGACCCAAGTCTCTACCCAACAGAAAAAAAGTTCTTATCCCCTTCCATTCTTTGACTTTCTGAGAACTGAACAACTAAATATGTGGATGGACAGCAGGGCAAAGTGGCTCTTACCTGTAATTCCAACTTCTTAGAAGGCAGAGATAGGAAAATCACCATTGAAAGCCATCCAGGCAATAAAAGCTACTTTCTTAAAAAACAGGCCAGGCCCAGGTCTGAGGCTGGTCGGGGCAAAAGCCAGAACCTATTTGAAAAACAGACTAATGACGAAAAAAGAACTGGGGGCAAGATTCAAGTAAGCCCTGAGTTCAAGCCTTCCTACTAGGAAAAACAAAACAAACCTAAATACATACTAAAATTAAAGGTATTTTCCAACAGTGATATTCCCTAGAAGGAAGTATGGTGTTATTTTATCTTTCAGTTGTTTTTAACAATAATCTGTACAGATTTCGCCGGTGAACTACTTGCTATAATGTATTTGTTCCCTTTAGCTTCAAGAGGCAGCAGGGTAGATTTAAACCCAAATGTTCTAATACAAAACAAAACCAAAAACTTAGCCCAGTCACTTGCTTGAGGCATGAACTATTACTGAGACAAGGTTTAAGTTGGCTTTATTTATCCTTTTAACAGATTAAATAATAAATCAAGCATAAGCATCACACACTTCAGAGCAGATTGGCTTAAAAAGTTCACATGCGTGGGGAGCCAAGGTGTTTTTACTTCCCTCAACCCCTAGGTCAGCTGGTAAAACACTCCAAGGATCTGCAAAGCAGGCCTTGGCTCCAGGGAGAGACTATCAGTGCTTGCAGATGTGGTTCTTGGTCACGTAGCATTTAGTTGCTAAGAAAATGGCCTGATGGCATAAAGCTGATTTCAAAATTGACTTACTAGGAGGCAGGAGCACCCAGCTTCTCTAGTTTTTTGGGTTGTTTGTTTTTTTTTTGATAGTACAAAGATTTTGAATTCAAGACCTGATGCTTCCTGCCTGCCCTTTTTTGCTTTAGTTATTCAGCTAGACTCTCTAGTATTTTGGTTTTGGGAAGGGGATTATTTTGGTAGCACTGAGGCATGGCTCTAGTTGCACTGATTATTTTTGTTTTGTTTTGTGCCGCTCCTGGGGCTTGAACTCAGTTATTCTTGAACTGAGTTATTCTGTAAAGGCTATCACTCCACCATTTACCACAACTCCATTACTGGCTTTTTAGTGGTTAATTGAAGATAAGAGTCTCATGAGCTTTCTTTCCTGCGCAGGTTGGCTTTGAACCATGATCCTCAGATCTGTCTCCTGAGGAACTAGGATTATAGCCATGAGCCATGCATTGGTTATTTTTGAGCCAATGTCTTGTAAATTTTTCTGCCTAGGCTGTCCTGGAACTATAATTCTACCAATCTCAACCTTCCACAGTGCCCAGCTATCAGTTGAGAAAGGGTCGCACAAACCTTTCTGCCCACACTAGCCTGGAACCATGATCTTCCCAATAACAGCCTCTCAAGG